CACTTTCTTAGTGTTAGTGAGGACTCGAGCAGCGGTGTTCTGAATCAGCTGCAGCTTTCTAATTGATTTTTTAGTGAGACCTGTGAAGACACCATTGCAGTAGTCCAGTCTACTGAAGATAAAACCATGGACAAGCTTTTCCAAATCCTGCTGTGACATTAGTCTTTTGATCCTAGATATGTTCTTTAGGTGATAGTAGGCTGATTTAGTAACTGTTTTAATGTGACTGTTGATATAATTATTATTCGGTCTTCGAAAAAATGTATGATTGTAAAGTGTATATATACCCACAAAAAATGGTTTTCCTTTGCTCTATAATTTATTTGTCTTTGTCTATTTTCAGGCCACAAAGCTAGATGATTGTTTTGTGCGGAGGGAGCCGTTGGGGGTGGTGTTGATCATCGGCCCATGGAACTACCCCCTGCAACTCCTCCTCTCACCTCTAATCGCAGCCATTGGTGCAGGTATGGTCCACACCCGTATCACCACAGTATTACCATATTACAGTTTTCAAAGCAACTAACATACGCATCAATACCGCAGACACGCCTATGGGAGAAAGACCCTCTGATAGGACACCTATTTTACACCTGGGCCACGGCCGCCAAATATACAATATATTGACCTAAAGTGAACTGGAAGTGCGAAAACTCATTTTAGGGTTTAACGACTAATTTCCACACCACTGAGTGTAAAAGTTACTAAATTAACCAGCTAGTCTCTGACTGGACTTTTTTTTTTTTTTTTTTTTTTATTTAACCAGATAAAAGCATTGAGATAGAATCTCATTTGCAATGCTGACCTGGCCAAGAAGGCAGCAACGTTACACATAACACAAACATATAAAATACAGAGAACATAACTAAGAAAACAAAAGACAAAAAAGCAGTCACTACATTGTGCACATTAGGACAGTAATAATAATAATAATACATTACATTTATAAAGCGCTTTTCCTGGTGCTCAAAGCGCTTAAGCTTAGTAAGAAAGATACTACTTATTACTGCAAGAGCAGCTGGTGGTAAGGACCTCAGACAACTTCAATTTTAAACTTGCTATTGAGACAAGTGCCCTCAGTTTGAGGCGTGATTGAAGGTCATTCCATGACCAAGGACCATAATAAAAAAGACTCCTTTTTCCAGCCTCAGTCCGCACAGCAGGTACCTGGAACCGTATCCAGGCACTGGATCTGAGGTTGTAAAAGTCACAAACTGGGGCAAATCTGGCACATATGTAGAGTGGAAGCTTACCTAAAATGGCTTTATACAATAATAAAAACCAATGCTGCATCCTACGAATAGTGAGTGAGTAATATTTCACAGTAAACAGCTGCATGTTGTTGGCAACAACAACATGATGAGAGCATTGAGAGAGTACCAAAAAGGCCAGAAATAAGTCACTATTTTAGCAATTCCAGGTTCCATGTCCCTTAGTCAACGGTTTTTCGAAAGAGTTTCTGCTCAGTGGTTGCTGAAATGAGACTACAAAACGTCATTACATGAAACATTCATTAGCAAAACAAAACATTAGCCCCCTTTAGCTTAGCGGAGGTGATGTGAAGTCATGTGACTGCGATGTAGTTTGTTTGTAGCCAATGTTTTATTACTTCTACTGATTGCAATTAAGCTTCAACTATTATAAAAGTGGTGTTTATCCTGCTGAACAAAACATGTTAGTATCATTAAAGCGTGTTTGCCACAGATCTTATTTTCTGCAATATTACACATTCCAATCAGCCATGTGATCCATTTTGATTGTACATTATGTATTGTTCCAGCTGTAGGTCAAAGTGCCACAAAGTTAGTGGCTTGGTTATCCTTTTGTAGTGCGTCTGTATCTTAGCTATCTATTGGCAAGAGATGAGTTAGTAGGTCAGTGTAAGGGTGTCCTGGTTGTACAGACAGGCTGCCAGCTCAGAGTGGATCCTGAGAGATTATTTTACATCAAGTATGTAAAAACAAGAAACCTGATCCTAAACATTTGTAGTATATATCTGCTGCCTTTTTTTATAGGGTCCCTGATATAGTGTTGAGGGGCTCCACATGCACAGACTGCAAAGATAACACGTGGCTTAGGATCTTACTCTGGGTATTAAAGAGCATTTCTCACCTCCTGAAACAGGTCGTGTGGATTTCTGCTTCCTGTACTGACTGAGAAATGTTGTTGTCTAGGTAACTGTGCCATCCTCAAGCCTTCAGAGGTCAGCGCCGCCACAGATGCTCTTGTCGCAGAGCTCATCCCAAAATATATGTCTCAGGTAAAGCAACAGCAAGATTCTACATGGTTTGAATCCAGGAAGTATAACTCTAAGGCTCTCCTGTCAACAGAAGGATTAGAATCTTTATTTGTGACTCATGCTAAATACTCTGTTACAAGTAAAGTCCTGCATTCAAACTCTTTCTTAAGCAAAAGTATTTACATCAAAATGAACTTAAAGTAAAATGAACAGTAATCAACACTATACACAGTATATATGTACAGTACTTTGTATGATCTCTGTTCTACAGGACTGTTATGCAGTAGTCCGCGGGGCAGCAGAGGAGACCAAGGCTCTACTGAAGAATCGATTTGACCACATCTTCTACACAGGTAAACAGTGAGTCATTATTCTCATATGTCCTTTACACAAAATATCACAAAGTGGACTTGAGCTAAGAACATATCAAGGCTAAGATCCAAAAAACACCACTGCTATTAACAGATTTGGGTTAGAAGTTTCTATAATGAACAATTTATCGAGGGTGTGCGCAGCACGAATCCATCTACACTCATGTGGTTCATGCTAAAACAGTATTTTCATAAAGTAAAAACTCATGTTGTCTGTATACCCAGTGCATTCAACTGATCAAAGCTGTTTTGATGGTTTCAGCTGTAAGAGGAAGACAGTGTTTTGTCTTTATTTCAAAATAACATAGTCAGCTGTTATCACCCTGCATTTAATTAACTTCTGTTATTGATCTACCATTTTTATTTTCATCCGTTCACATTCATGTCAAAGTCATTAGCATCTTTAGAGGCATGTTTTAACCAAGTCTTTGAATATTGGAGAATTTAAATCTGTCTTTCACTGTGAGTGGATGTGATGGAGGACTGGAGGTGGGGCTTAAGGAAAATGCAAGTGTGCTTGGTCTAAGATTTCTGGGTATTTGTTGTACCTACAGTCAGTCCATATTTAGCTTAATCCGCTACTGAGCAACTTTCAAAGGAAAGAACGAAGTCCCGCCTCATACGTGTTTCCATCTCTCTCTATGCTCCCATGCTTCGATCACTTGGTCTGGAGCTACATATCTGGAGTACTAGCAGCCACATTATCATAAGCTCATGAACCCTTCCCTCTGACTCAGGTTCTCATGCCGTGGCTCGCCACATCCTGCATGCGGCCGCGGACCACCTGACCCCTGTGACCTTGGAGCTGGGTGGGAAGTGTCCGTGCCTGATATATGGTAAGGTGAACATCACCTACGCCGCGCGCCGACTCGCCTGGTCAAAGTTCTTTAACACGGGCCAGAGCTGTGTGGCTCCAGACTTCTTGGTGTGCTCGAAGGCCACCAGGGACGCCCTGCTGCCCGCACTGAGACAAACTCTGGAAGATTTCTACAGCAAGGAGCCCGAGAGCTCCGCCGACCTGCCACGCATCGTGTCCCCAAGACACTGGACCCGACTCATGGAGCTGCTCAAGAGGTCCAAGGGAAAGATGGTTATGGGAGGAGAGAGCAACGAGGAGAACAAGTACATCGGTGGGTAGAGAAACAAGTAAATGAACATTTTGTTCAGATTAGTGGGAAAGTGAGTCGCAAAACGGTATGTAAAATGCAAAACACACATGGACTTGAGATCCACAAATAAAAGCTGGATTCACAAATGCCTGATCGAAGGTTTAGAAAGATATTCGCTTTTTTAATATATTCACATATATTATTTTATTTGTGGAACTTGAAGAATGTTGAGTTTATAAATCTCTCTTTGCTTGTGTCAGCTCCCACAGTGCTGGTGGACGTGGCTGAAGATGACGCTCTGATGGAGGAGGAGATCTTCGGCCCCTTCCTGCCCATCCTCACCGCAGAGACTCTGGAGGAAGCCATCGCCTTAATCAACCGCCAAGAGAAGCCACTGGCCCTCTACGTGTTCTCTGAAGATTCCTCTGTAAGCACACAGAAACACCTCAGACGCATTTTCTTTGATATCTACGTTTACTTTATATCCAGAGAGTGAGCCAAAGTAAACAAACAGTAGAGGTGATAGCAAACATCCTTGTGTACATCCTTGCTCTAATACAACGTTTTGAGATCTGTATGGATGTGTTGTGTCTGGTGGAGGCGAGTGGACTTGAATAGAGAGTTTTTACCCACTTTATAAAACTAGGTCCAGATTTGAACTTTTTGATAGTACTGCAAAGAGACACGATCTAATGCCTGACATGCATCGAGTGACAGAAGCATTGCCTTCTCTCCTTTAGATTGTACATGCTCATGACATGTAATACTCTCCATAGATTATCCCCATCATATCTCCCTGTAATAATCCAGTTTGGTCTGGGTGTGTAACATGATTAATCATTTAATTTCAGTATGCGGAGATCACTATTCAGCTTCTTTTTATTATTCGACATCCTGCTGTCCCTGTTTTGACGTCCTGTTGTCTCTTATTTGACGCCATGTTGTCTCCGCTCTGAAGGTGGTGAACACGGTGCTGGAGAAGAGCAGCAGCGGAGGATTCTGCTCCAATGACGGGATCATCCACATGGCGCTGCCAACGCTGCCTTTCGGGGGTGTAGGTAAGGGACACAAAACACACAGTAAATATACAGTATAGATAGAGTGGTGCAGTGAAGACGTATTTTTGTAGGCTGACCCTAAAGTTAGCTTTTGGAATATTGTTGAAAATAAGATCTGTGGCAAACACACATATTGTTCAGTGGGAAAATAATTTGTTATAATAATTGAAGCCTAAATGGAATCTCCAGAAGTGAAAAGCTAACGTTAGGCAATAAACAAACCACTTTACCACCGCCAAGCTAAAGGTGGCTAATGTTTGGCGTGATGATGTATAGTAGTCTAATTTAGTCACTTGTTAGCAACAGCTGATTTTAGGACACTTAGTGTTTACAGTTCATTTTCTTTATTCTTTGCACATTCTAACCCTACTTTAACTTCTTATGTTTACATGAAAATGTTTCTTATATATTTTTTATTATTTTTTAATCTTTTATTTCCTTCTGAAATGAAGCAACTGTCCTGTAACCCAATTTCTCCGGGGATAAAAAAAGTATTCTGATTCTAAAAAATAATGATGAACTTAATTATAAAAAGAGGCTGTTTAAGATGCTGGATCACGGTTCTGACCCCTCCTTCCAGGGGCCAGCGGTTTCGGCAGTTACCACGGCCGCTGGGGCTTTGAGACCCTCAGCCACCAGAGGGCCGTCATGCTGCGGGGTTGGACCTTGGAGAGACTCAACGGCCTGCGCTACCCCCCCTACACAGAGGACAAGCTGAGCTGGCTGCGCTGGACCACCTCTGCCAAACCCAGCTGCTCACTCATGTGATGTGAGGCCTTGTTAAGGCATCTACTTTAACTCTATACACGTTCAAAAGCAGTTGACTTGAAGACGAGGGAACCCGATGTGGTAAAATGCTGAATCATTTCCGAGTTTTAGAACTGATTCCTGCTCCTCTCTATAATGAGCACGGACTAATGTTGGCGTTTCTTTTCCCAGATGGAGCTCCTGTATTTCCCCAATGTGTTTCTGTCTCATGCAGAGCAGTACCGCTGGTCAGTTAACGTCACTGTTATATTTTCTGAAGGATTCAAAAGTTATATATTTGTTCCTTTTTGACAACTGTTTGCCTCTTATTTTGTTCTGTATGTTCTAGTGTGTGTGTGTGTGTGTGTGTGTGTGTGTGTGTGTGTAGAATGTTTGGGATCTACTGTGATTAATCATGTGTTGGTTGTTTCTGTGTATTACTGGGTGTTTCGTCCCTTTCTCTTAACATGACACGTCTTCATGCCACTATTATATTGTGTATTTCTATTGAGTTTGATACATCCATTTATTATTATCTATACATTAATTTTGTAGTTCGTTTGAAGTCATTGATACTGTACAGCTTTATTTTATTTGTGAAACCTTTTAAAATGGCTGATCTGTTTAATACACTGATATTTTGACCTGGATAAATAGAGAATGGGATTACAGCGTTTTTGTTTTTTGCACCTTATAATTTGACATGCTTTAATGCTCAATAAGCTCTTTATTTGTTCTGCTGTGCTCTAATCGGTTAGCTGGTTCAGGAAGTAAACAAAGGAGTCCAATGGATGGGGAAAATAAGGCCCAATTCCAAACAGCCCCCACCCACTCTGTAACAGTCACACTCAGTAGCTTACGGAGGCTCCCTTCTTCCAGCTAGACCATCATCAGTGTTGTGTAAACTAAATATTTTTTGAAAAAGTAGGCCCATTTATGTTGAATTCATGACACTGTATTTGTGTATTTTCAGATTCAATTCTAAAATATATATTTCAAAGCCTTTAAAACAAATGATTTGGTACTTTAAGGTAGTGCTTTATTTCAGTTGACTTGTTTAATATGAATACAGAGCATTTCTCCTTGCAGACACTTACACAGGGAGCTTATCATTTACTACACACTTCGTACAGTGACCTGGCACTTTAAATGACATGTCAATTCGACTCCCCTTTTCAAATATATTCCTTTTAATTATGATGACTCAGAGATATTAATGAGGAGTTATCTGTAGTAATGTGCTACACGACCTGACTGAGGACATCTGTAAAAACATTTAACAGCTCCCGAACCCTTTAGCTTCATTAAAATACAGAGCTATGATAACATCATTACTTTTTATTCCATTTGACTGATCGGGGCTTTCAGTCATAAAAATAATTCATCAAACACTCATCAAAATGCATACTCGAGTGAAAAGTACTAAATGAAGGTGAGAGGGTTCCACTTCCAGTGCCTGCAGTCACTGTGATCTCAAATATATTATTTTTCACTTTTGTACAATGACATCTCCATATTAATTTGAGACGATCATGGAACAAGAAGGTCAAAATGATTCCGTTTATTACAAATATGAGAGTTGAAACAGGTTACACAGGTCCATTATAGTCCTTACAGAACCCCTTCCCCGACTTACATTGGAACACTGATCATTTGTTATTCGACTTTGTTGAGTCGTCATGGCTCAGGTTTGTGTGAGGAGGGGGTCCCAGGTAGGGGCTGCTCTAAGGCTGCACACTCTGCATGTGGGGGGGGGCTGGCTGCCGGCTCTTTCTGCACCAGCTCGGGCTCATCCTGTCCGGCCTGGGGAGGGTGGACCAGCACCCGGTCGATGATGCCGAAGTCCTGCGCCTCAACCGGGCTCATGTAGCGGTCCCGCTCCATAACCCCGTCTACAGGAGACCAGCTAACAGTTAGCCACATGCTATCAATCATTATCAGTGTTGATGTGTAATAAAGTACATCTACTCAAGTACTGTACTGAGGTTCAAATATACTAGTCTTTTTTTCTCTGTGCCACTATACTTCTTCACTACATTTTTCAGGGACATTAATGACCTTTTACTTCGATTCGTCGGTCGAATAATCGATTATTATTCGCCAGGGCTGCCGAATAATCGATTTTGATCATGATCAGTTTCTGGCAACCCTAATCTTAAGTATAATGTATGTTGAATAGTTGAGGGAGCCTGGGACTTCAGATATTCATTGCCATAACTACGACGTAGCTGGTGTGCATATGAAAATAAAGCCTGCTAATCTCTTTGAATCTTCAGTAAAAGTAGGAAGTAGCAGTAAAATGAAGAGCTCAGGTAAAGTACAGTATTTAGGTGCACTACTTGAGTAAATGTCAGAGAGAGAGAGCAGGAAGTTACCGATGGTTTGCAGCAGCTGGCCCGTGTGTTTGGCGTAGATTTGGTTGATCTGTTTCTTCAGCTTCAGGATCTCCTCAGCCTGGATGGCGATGTCTGTGGCCTGACCCTGAACACATCACAGAGAAATTATCATGTTTACAGACTCAGTAAACCCCTATGCTTGTTCTCAGATCAGTATAAGGAAGTTGGGGGGACAGCTCACCCTGGCGCCCCCTGAGGGCTGGTGCAACATGATGCGGGCGTTGGGCAGTGAATGTCTCATGCCTGCCGTTCCCGCTGCCAGCAGCAGGCTGCCCATGCTAGCAGCCTGGCCCACGCACCAGGTGGAGATGGGGTTCAGGATGTACTGCATGGTGTCGTAGATGGCCAGGCCCGCTGTCACCACACCACCTGGGGGGGGGGAGGAAATGGCATGAGTTTAGAAAACATCACAGAAACGGAGGACTCAAAATCCTCAGGGGTCCTTGCTCATGTGCACCTCTGCAGGGACCATTGTACCTTTTAAAAAAAGGGCCCCAGTATTCACATATTCAGGATCATATCAGTATGTAGTGTCTCTCCTGGGACATGTCTCCATGCTTTAATGTTCAAAAAGCTCTTTATTTTTCTCACACTGCCTGTACTGCAGCACCTCTTTTCACCCTCTGTCTGAAACCAGAGCCCAGTCTGCTCCGATTGGTTAGCTGGCCGGCTCTGTT